TTTTCATATTTTTTGTAGAGATGGGGTTTCACCATGTTGCCCAGGCTGGTCTTGAACTCCTGACCTCGACTGATCTGCCTGCCTAAGCCCCCCGAAGTGCTGGCATTACAGTTATGAGCCACCGCTCTCGGGCTAATATAAAATACTATTACTTAGGAGCCTGCAGGGGCTTTTCCTAAGTGCTTTAAAATACTCATTTCATCCTCACAATGGCCCTATGAAAGAGGCACCATTAACAGCCCCATTTTCAGAAAGGGAAACTGAGGCATAGAGCGATTAAGTGACTAGCCATTGGTCATATAATTTATAGCAAGAAGTGGAGCTGGAGCCAGGCACAGTGGCTCACACCTATAATCCCGGCACTTTGGGAGGCCAAGGCAGCAGGATCCTTTGAGCTCAAGAGTTCAAGACTAGCCTGGGCAACATGGTGAAACCCCATCTCTACTAAAGATACAAAAGTTAGCCAGGCATGGTGGCACGCACCTATAGTCCCCGCTACTCAGGAGGCTGAGGCACGAGAATCACGTGAACCCAGGAGGCAGAGGTTGCAGTGGGCTGAGATTGTGCCACTGCATTGCAGTCTGGGTGATAGAGGAAGACTCTGTGTCAAAAAAAAAAAAAAAGAAAAAAGAAAAAGAAAGAAAAGGTTTTAGGAAGAATGGGAGCAGAAAATACCGGGTAGACAACTTTTTGAAGAATTTTTACCACAAAGAGAAACAAGGCCACTGGAGCCATGGATCATGCCTCTAATCCCAGCATTTTGGGAGGCTAAGGTGGGAGGATCGCTTGAGCCTGGGAGGTCGAGGCTGCAGTGAGCTGTGATCACACCACTGCAGTCCTGCCTGAGCGAAGGGGCAAGAGCCTGTCTCAAAAATAAAAATAACGCATTCTCGGTCCAGTGCGGTGGCTCATGCCTATAATCCCAGCATTTTGGGAGGCTGAGACGGGTGGATTACCTGAGGTCGGAAGTTCGAGACCAACCTGGCCAACATGATGAAACCCCGTCTCTAAAAATACAAAAATTAGCCAGGCTTGGTCGCGGGCACCTGTAATCCCAGCTACTTGGGAGGCTGAGGCAGGAGAATCACTTGAACCTGGGAGGTGGAGGTTGCAGTGAGCCGAGATTGAGCCATTGCACTCCAGCCTGGGTGACGGAGTAATACTGCGTCTCAAAAAAATAAATAAATAAATAATATCACGTTCTCTGCACACACCCTTGCCCCCTTTGGCTTCCTCCTGCATAAGACTCCGGATAAATCCAGCCTTCCTCTCCTGTGCCTGCACCCACACAGCCCGAGGGAGCTAAGGAACAACACAGCGCCCTGGCCAGGCTAATGTCAAGTCTGTGAACTTGACCCTCAGGCAGACCCCAATGCTGCCTGGCAGCCATATGACATTTCTCTGATCCCCTCCTTCCTCCTCTCTTCTAGGCATTTAATTCACACCTTTTCACTTCTCCCTAATCCTTTCCAACACCTCCTCCTCCCCTTTCACTCTCTTGGCTTCTTATTTTGCAGAGAAAATGCAAGAGATGAGAAGCGAACTTCCACAGCCGCCCCCACCTCTACCACCTACCTGCACTCGTGTCCACACCGTTTTCCCACTGTAACTGTCCCATCACCTGCTCCCACCTTCCCACCCACTTCCAGCCCCGGTCCCTGGCTCTCACCTCTCCCTGCTGCTCATTTAGTTTCCCCCAATGCACTGGATCTCCTGTCGCCCCCCCAGCGTCCTGTCTCCCATCTCAAAACAAACCCTCTCTTTTTCGTTGTTTTTTGAGACAGGGTCTCACTCTGCCACACAGGCTGGAGTGCAGTGGCGTGATCTCAGCCTTCCGGGTTCAAGCAATTCTCCTGCCTCAACCTTCCCAAGTAGCGGGGATTACAGGTGTGTACCACCACGCCCAGCTAATTTTTGTATTTTTTGGTAGAGACGGGGTTTCACCATGGTGGCCAGGCTGGTCTCAAACTCCTGACCTCAAGTGATCCACCCGCCTCGGCCTCCCAACATGCTGGGATTACAGGCGTGAGCCACTGCACCCGGCCCAAACCTTCTCTTGACCTCACATCCCCTTCTAGCTACAGCCCCACTTTTTTTTTTTGCTGCTCTTGTTATTTTATTTAGAGACAGGGTCTCGCTTTGTTGCCCAGGCTAGAGTGCAGTGGCACAATCATAGCTCACTGCAGCCTCCAACTCCTGGGCTCAAGCGATTGTCCCACCTTAACCTCTGGAGTATCTGGGACTACAGGTGTGCACCACCACACCTGGCTATTTTATTCTTTGTACAGATGGAGTCTCTTTATGTTTCCCATGCTGATCTCAAATTCCTGGCCTCAAGCGTTTCTCCCACCTTGCCCTCCGGAAGTGCTGGGATTACAGGCATGAGCCAGCATGCCAGGTCAAGAATGTTTTTAATGATTAACCATGGAATTGAAGCTGGCTAAGGAAAAAATGAAGGCATGGGAGGTGAGGGGCAGTGAAAAATGAAATGGAATAAATGGGAAAAAAAAAAAAAAAGAAAAATGAAATGGACGAGGGATGGGAGACCATAGTGCATTGGAAGGATCATTGGAGCCAGGCACTGGAGGGAATGAGGTGGAAAGAGGAAGTGATGGATGGAGAGTGAATATGTGAAACTGAGGTTCTGAAGAGGCTGATGTTACTGGGACAAGGTCTGGGCCTGACCCTGAGCAGGAGGGTTGGGGAAAGGATAAAGTCACTAGAGGAGGTCAGGGAACAGAGAGGTTGGGGCTGCAGGAGAACAATCTATCTGGTTATGGAAATCACTGCTGCTAAGAGCAGCAGGAGCGGCCACGAGCCCAGAGCTAAAATTAGGGAGAAGAGAGGAGTCATGATCTGGGTCAGCAGATGACGCACAAGGCAGAGTAGCGTTGCGATTCAGCACTGGGGGTTTGGGGGAGTGTGGAGGGAGACGGTCAGGAAGCAGCTCCCAGGAGCACCGAGACCTGCCACTTGGAAGTTCCACAGGAGAGCTGGGTTCCAGTTACAGCAAGAAGGTTGTAGCAATATTCAGAGAAGTAACTGAGGCAAGAAGAGATTTTGCTAAAAATAGGTCATGGGTTCCAAAGGCCGCAGGAGTTGGAACAGATTGGGGGATGGGGTGGAAATGGTTTCTTCTGCACTGCGTTTCCCTGTGGGTCTGTAACCCAACCCAGGTTTGGCCACTCACCACTCGAAAGCCAAACTGAGGCCAGGCGTGGTGGCTCGCACCTGAAATCCCAGCACTTTGGGAGGCCGAGACAAGCGGATCGCTGGAAGTCAGGAGTTCGAGACCAGCCTGGCCAACATGGTGAAACGCCATCTCTAATACAAAAATTACTGGCCGGGTGTGGTAGCACACACCTGTAATTCCAGCTACTTGGGAGGCTGAGGCAGGAGAATCACTTGAACCCAGGAGGC